GGAGGACAATGGGAGGGGGAGGGGCATGGGGTGGGGTGGGAAATGGGTGGAGGGAAGCTATTGAGAGAAAAAAGAGGAACAACTGTAATAATCTGAACAATAAAGATTAAAAAAAAAGAATTAGGAATACATAGTAACGAGATGAAAAATGCTACCACTATTTCTACTTACAAGTGAGAGAGGCTCCCTATGAAAACTAGAAAGGTAAAATGGCAACATAAAATCTTTAAAATGTTAAAAACGCCCTATTGTAGTGAGTTTCATTCAAATGTATATTTTTAGAAACTGTTTTTGGTCTATAGGAGTAAAGAAAGAAGTGCTAACACTGCAGTTTAGTGACTAATTTACCAGAACATCACCCTATAGTTGAGTCACGATCCGGGAAGGACCTAAAGTAGGACTTTCAATAACCAAGTACAGTAAAGTACTTCATCACCAGTACTAGTTTATTTCGGTGTAACTAGTACTTCATTTGGCCTAGAACATTCAGAGGAACCAGCTACAACAGACAATGGTGAGAGGCGGAAGGAGACTGGGGTGCCCTCATTCTCCAGTGACCAATGTCCTTCTTCCCCAGAGGTTATAGGAACAAACTCCTCTAGAATTCTCATTTACCCCAGAGCAGAATTCTAGCTTGTCTGGTAACTTACTCTGAAATTTCTAAGTGATAAACCAAAAGGATCCAACACCTTACTAAAGTATTTGCTGTTTACAAAGCACTCCACTACTCTACAGGCACTAGGAGAGATGCAACAGGATATGCTGAAGGGATAAGGAGAGAGGACTGCTAAGACCCACATTTATTGGAGGAAATGAACAAATCTGGATACACACTGTCTCTCAGAAGGGAACCAACCACCTTAGAGGCCCTGAGGAAAGCACTCTGAGGCATACCCTTACAAATCTACTCCCAAAGGACACCTTGTGCTAAATCATTAGCCAATGACCTTATCCATTAAAAAAAGAAATTTAAGTAAATTACATGCAAAGCTGCCTTCAGTCAGTTCTATTAAATGAGTAACTGGTAAAACAAGATTAAAAGCGTGGGAAATACTGGCATGAGTTAGGCAACCCCAGTAGCAACATAGCACATAACTCGACCTGTAACGACCCACAGACCATCCAAGCCCTGCTCCAGTGCAGTCCTCCTGGCAGTCCAGGTGTCTGTCACACAGCCATGGAGGAAGTCCTGGGGGTGGCATCCAGCTCTCCTTAGGATGAGGCAGCAGGTGAAAAGACAAGGATAAGGGGCACGTGGGAAGGAGTCAAGAGAGGGGAAAAAACCCTATTAAAATAGCAAAATAGCCAGCGACTAACAGATTTAAAAATCTTACTTTCTTGTCTCTCTGCTTCATCTTCACGGTTCTCTGTTCCAGTGAGTACCCCAGTTCTCTGGCTGCTTCTGTGAGCTTTTCATCTATGGATTTCAAGAAACTAGTTTTCTTTTTATCTGTTACTTCTTTAAGTTTTTTCATCAAAAATAATCTGAAAAAGAATTAAAAGCCCTCGTTATACAATAGGCCACTGTACTAAGTACACAGGCCGGGGAAAGTGAAAGGAGCTAAGTTAAAAACATCAAATTCCATTAAGAAAAAGACTGCAGAATAATTACCAACAGCTCTCTCATAATCCCCAATAGATTTCTTCAAACAAGGGAAAAGCAGTATCAATAAAAAGCTTTCAGCCTCAAAACCAACAAACGATTGAAATGTGTATTATCTCTGTCTACAATAAAGATATAGGGATATTTACAAAGCTGAGATTAAGCCAAGTATTATGTGGCATTACTTGATATTAAGATATTACATACTGCTGTGGAGGAGTCTGGCATTACAGGAAGTAGAATGTATACAAAAGGATTTTTTATTTTTGAAGAGCCAAGGGACACTGTTATAATACTGAAGATCAGCAGATTTTTAAAAATGTTACCTTCAAATTTGTTTTAAGATAAATTCGGAAAACAAAAAAGGAAAGCAAAGCTACTTTATAAGCTTATACAGAAGCACAATACAAAAGGCATGAGAACAGTACATTATGTTACTGCCAGTTACGGAAATAACTGTGTTTTATCATAAGCAGGTTAAGACTTTAACCAGCAGAACAGGAGGGCGAGAGTAAAATGAAGAGCTGGAGAAACAGGTCAGCCCCCTTCCTCTGTAGCCACTGCCAGACTCCCAGGAGGAAAGTCGTTCTATTACTATTGACATTTGACAGTTTGCTGTGGACTTGGCATTTTAAAAGGTTAGAACGTTTATAGTGTGTGTTATTCTTATCCCCATTTTACATGTCAGGAAACTGAGGACAGAGAACAATCCATTTACTCAAGTTCAGAGTTAGTAGGGGCGGATTACAGTGCCACAGAAACCAAGACCACCAAATCACTGTCTTCTGATGACAGCACACATACTTACACCAAATGCTACCTTCAGTCATAACCAGTTGTGTATCATGAGAATATGTTTATATCAACCATAAAAAGCAAATTAAAGACATCAGGTCTAGGTGAATCAATTTCAGTCTTCCTCAACCTCTCTGGCATGGCATACAGGCCTTCAAATACTATGCGCCTCTTGTTTTCATACTTTCATTCATATACTGCTACCTTGCCTAGAACATCCTTCTTCCCATTTTTTCTAGTAAGTTCGTAGGCATTCTAGGCCTAGATAAAATATCTCTGTGAAGACTCCATCGCTACTTATGGCACTTAATTGCTGTCTTCCACATTTATCACATTATTATGATTATCTTGGTAGCAATGTATGAAGCTTTTGTCTCTCAGCTTCAACTTACTCTCCAATACTTTGCTTTCTGATGCTTACAGTGGCCAAGTACAAACTGAAATAATAACCAGGAACATTTTGTACTCTGTTTCATTAAAATCCATTGAATGAATACAGCAGTGATCACTTAGAAAATACTCAATTATGCAGATCTTCCAAATATTGAAACTTTTCATTATATCATATTCACTCTGATACATCACAATATGAAAAAATCACATTCGTTACTATTACCACTAGTCACATTAGAAACGTTGTTAGGTAGTGAGAAGCTGTCAAGCTCACAATGGTGCTTGTAAGTTTCCCCAATTCTAATTTTTGTTTTTGAAACCCTGAATTTTAACCACTGGCAACAAATACAGTTAGCTGTTTTCTTTGGTTCATTTGAGAAAATGTCTGCCAAATACTCATGTCTGAATAACCAGTGTGTCAGTCACTCTCAAGTAAAAGTGGAGAAAGTTCAGCTCACAGCTCTGTCACACAAGAGCTTCTTCCTTGAGACAAACCAACACTTGAGTGTGCAGAAGGGCTTTCTTTCTAGGTATGTCCCATTTCATCACACAGAATGTTAAGGGATGTGTACTCAATGACAGAACTCTAATGTTTTCACTGCTTCATCACTGACTTTCTTAAATGACACACAATATATTACTGCCTCAATAATGTAATGACTGCTAATTTGGCACCACTGTCTTGATTCTTGTCAAGGTATTAACAAGTATTACCCACCTTTCATTACCTCTGTGCCACTGGTGCACAACTGACATCTTATACCATGAATAGTTTTGACCTCATAGGCCTCTTAAAAAGGTGTCAGAGACCCCCTGAGGGTCCACACACAGTTCTTTGATAACTGCTACTTAGTTAATGGTTTCACATTACCAGTACAGTGCAGCAAAGAAAGATGGGGCAGCAGGCAAGAGGAAAAAAGATTATTTAACAAGATCACCCAAGATCTGATATATTGGATAAAATAAATTTATTCTTTTAATAAGTTTCAAATCTGCATAGTTTTTCGGTCCTGAACAAATTAAGCATTCATTAAATGTAGGGTAAGTAAATTTTAAAAACTGAAGTATCAAAATTAGAAAAGTATAATTTTGTGTTATATTTAGACATATCTGGAATGTGTATTTAAAAACATATATTCCTTAGTCCTGTTCTATATGTACTGAAGTGGAATTTCTAGAGGCAGGACCAAAAGAGCTCAAAGTCAAATACTTTTAACCAGTAACCCAGGAGGTTCTGATATGAAGTCACGATCAAAACCATTAACTAAATAGCAGTTATAAAAAAAAATAGACTGTGGACCGTTGGGGATCCCCGAGTTCTTTTTAGGAGGTCTGTGAGGGCAAAAGTACTGCTAAAAGAACAGAATGGGGAAAAATTCACTCCAAATTTTGTTGTCCAAAGATAAATGGAAACTTTGAGTATATCTAGATTTCTTCCTATGTTCATTAAACAATATGAAAAAGGAATCATTCTACACTATTCTATTATTTGGCCTCTTCATATATCAAACATCTTTCCAAATCAACATACAAGGATCCTGGCATTATAGTGTATGGACGTTCTATTATTTACTGACCTAATTTTTCCTATTGCTGGATTTGATGTTTCCAATTTTTCATTTTTATCAATAATCTGTAATATACACACATATTTGTGTACCTGTCCAGAAGTTCTATAGATAACTAGCTAGAAATGGAATTGCTGATTTAAGGGTAAAAATGTTTATTTTCTTAGCACAGTACCTGGCAATGTTAATAATCTGTCATGAAATTTTGGAATAAGGTTATTCAAATTGCTCTCTATACTAGTAAAAGTTTTACCAATTAACACTTAAATCAGTAGTTTCTTATCATCTAATTGGGTATTATCACTCTTTAAACTTGACTAATCTTTGTTGGCTTAATTTGCATTTCTTTGACTACTATTCAATCTTGCACAAAGTGAACGTTTCCTGGGGCATAAAAATAATTTGTTTATAACAAACTAGAGGTCCAGTGCACAGGATTTGTGCAATGGTAGGGTCCCTAGCAGCTGCGGGCTGGGTACTCCTTCCCTTCCTCTGGCCGGCCCCACCCCCTGGTCAAACTCCAGGACGAACTCCCAGTTGAGGGGACAATTTGCATACTATGCTTTTATTATATAGGATGGTCTCACTTCAAAGACCTTACTCAGGCTGGTATAGAAATAAGGTAAACTAAATGTTCTAGAGTAGCTTTTTAAGAAAAAGAAAATCTTAAAAACTAAAACAGTTGTTAACAGTTGAAAGACATTATAGTATTTTTACCTCTATGTTTTAGATAAATTATTGGAGACTGAAAACATCTGAGTGAAATAGGTACTCAAATACTTACTTGCTGGTCTTCACCTAAATTATAAATTTATCACCAATTTTTTTTTCTTTTTCTTTTCTGTGTTCTCCAAAAAGCTAAAAAATACCAGAACAGTCTTGGATTATTTCAGATAACCACTATGACTTTCTTTTTTAAAGAGATTTTTAATAAGACTAATGAAAAGTTAGGTGTTTTTGCATGTCAAAAATATTTGGAGCATCTACTATGGGGCAGGTACTCTACACAAGAAAGCCTCTGTCTTTATGGAATTTACATGTTAATGCAAGAGACAGACAGTAGGCAAGTAAACAGCTATCATTCCTAATAAACATGGCACCAATTTCAACTGAATGGTAAATCTGAAGGGCTTAAAAGAACTATAAATTCTATGTAAATTATAACATTTACTATAAGAACAGATACTATAAGAACTGTATAACAGAGACAAGCAACATTTTATAAAACTCAGAGGCATCAGAAGAGAAAGAACCTTTATTGGATGTCTACGAGTTGCCCTTTAAATACACGGGTATGTACGACATATACATAGCAGCGCAGTCCAGTTAGTTTGAATTTTTTATTGCAAATCTGCATTATTAAATCACAGGCATAAGTCTTTTTAAAAAGTGGGTATAAAAAGAGGTCCCACAAAACATGATCTACTTATTGTATTTAAATGATAAAGATGGCTTTCTTCATTTTTGTACAGTGTAAACTGTATAGCTGCTAACAAAGAGCTTCGAGTTCTGTCTGAAGCTGGTGCATTGTGGACTAGCTCGCTCAGCTCCATCCCAAGCCCCTTCCACAAGAGACCTTGCTGCATTTCCCATACTATTCTTCAGCTCAGACTCCACATGGGACCTAGCTTCTCTCAAGCAGATGCAACTCTGAAATCCGAAGAGATACCGGGGAGAGGAGGCTGTGCTTCTGCTGTCCACCAGTGAGCATAGCTGTAGAGGCAATTAACTGTTCTGGAGCAACTGCAGCTGAGATCTCAGCACCTGGTCCTTAGCTGCATGAGGGCTGAGAGGCAGAGGGCAGGGCATCCATTTTATTGGCCCAGGTTATAGCAAAGACATTGTGGTCCCGAAGCCACTTGTCATGGCAGCAGATGCCGATTTCCAGTTTCCTGATGGTGGCAGAGACAAACTCCATTGGTGAGCCAGTTCTGCCCACACCTTTCATTCCTGGAGGTTCAGGCTGCTCCATCAGCCCTTCTGAGGATGTTATGAGCACCTGTTTTACTGTATTAAATACTTGTTTGAACTAGATACAGTGAGTTCTTACTATGAATCCATAGTGATGGTGTTTAAAATATCATCAGTTTTCACTAAAAAAATTTTTACTTTTCCCATGGGACAACTGAGGTCAACATTAAGGAATAGTTTCATTAAATAAGATAATTAGATATATGAGATATTTTTTGGGGGGTGAAAAGTAGAATATAAGACTACCTGCTAAAGTCAGAAATTATCTCTATAAATCTAGAATTTTTAGGTTACTTCAATTCCTCATATAGCACAAAAATTATAAACAAATATAATTAGAAAGGGATTGAAATAAAGAATTTCCTTACCTAACCGCAGCAAACACATTATCTCCATTTTGAACAATTACACAATTTTTCTTTGCTTCATTTGTACCAACATATACAGGAAGTTCATCAGGAGAATCCCTGTTTAAGCAAAAGATATTAAAAATTTAGCTGCCCATAATTTACATTAGACAAGTAGTATTTTTAGGTGTATAGACAACAATTTATATCTACATGTTTGTTTGCTTTTTGATTGGAATTTGCCAGGTTTAAGCTCTAAGTTTCTTAGGAATAGCAATGACAAATCTTGCTTATATACAGAACCTAAAATTGAGATTCTTAGGCCCATGTACCAAAAGGTTGCCAATTTGATTCCCAGTCAGGGCACATACCCGGCTTGCCCTCTCTAAAATAAATAAAAACATATTTTTTTAAAAAACATTCCTAAGACCTAGTTACTTGTATAACTAAATATAAGAAAAGGGGAGTAAAGCCTATCAAAAAGAAGTAGGGAAGATTATATACACCATCAACTCAACCCTTATAGTCTGTGAAAAAAAGACAGAAAAACAGGATTATAAAACATTAGATGCAAAAGGATCTGATTTATCTATATATATAAAAGCCTAAGCAAATGAACGACCTAACTGAATGATGGGTCAACCGGTTGCTATGATGCGCACTGACCACCAGGGGGCAGACGCTCAACGCAGGAGCTTCCCCCTGGTGGTCAGTGCACTCCTACAGCCAACCTCCTGCAGTCAGCCAACCTTCAGCGGTCCCTCCCCCCAGCCGGCCGGCCCCCATAAGCCTCAATCAGCCCCGAACACTGGCCAGGCTGAGGGACCCCACCCGTGCACAAATTTATGCACCGGGCCGCTAGTATACATATAACCAAATTCTTTTATTTTACAATTGAGGAAACCAAAATAGAGAGATGAAGCACTTGGCCAACACCCTGGTAAATTAATGACAAAGCAGAAGTGAAATCTATGCTAACCCAATTTCCAGCACTGTGTACATTCTACTGTACCACACTGCTTCTCCCTTGGCACCTTTCCTGCACTTCCTCTATTTTCTTATCTTACAGTTAATCTTTACTTTAAATGACAGCATCTCTACTGGTACAAGTATTTTTCCCTGTAACCTACTTCTATTTCTTTAACATTTTAAGTACCTGGCACATAGCCATTAGATCCCTTAATATTCTATTAGGTATGTATATTAACCTCATTTTTACAGAAGAAACTGAGTCACAGAAATTCAATCACTAATGACTGACACGGGGTCAGTCAGATAACAAACAGTAGGACCAGTCAGTAGGACCTGATTCCAGATCACATTCTTTTTGATAGAAAATTGACTTATTGGTGGGTATAAGGTGGGGGCAGCATCAAGAGTGTCACAAGTGCAGGGCGACACCAGGATCTTCAGTGGCACGCCGAAGGGAAAGAGCTAGAGCACATTCTTTTTTTTTTTTTTTAATATATTTTTATTGATTTTTTACAGAGAGGAAGGGAGAGGGATAGAAGATTAGAAACATCAATGAGAGAGAAACACCGATCACCTGCCTCCTGCACACTCCCTACTGGGGATGTGCCCGCAACCAAGGTACATGCCCTTCACCGGAATCAAACCTGGGACCCTTGAGTCCGAAGGCTGACGCTCTATCCACTGAGCCAAACCGGTTAGGGCTAGAGCACATTCTTAACTATTGATTGTCTCTATGGTCCCTTGAAGCACATGGCTAATTAAAGTCACAGCATCTGCTCTAAATTATCTTCCTTGAGCTAAAAGAGCTTCTCTCAACTGCCCTTCCCCCCAGAAAAAGTTTATAACCACAAAGGAAAAACCAGTGAGGTTAAACCTAGAGTTCACCCATCCTAGGGTAAGTTAGGATAGCAATAGCAGAACAGATGGCCCATGTACCCACCAACAAGGGAAAAATATGCCATTCACCTTGAATATTTATTTATGCTTGTTAGAAGGACAGTAACTATATTTTAGAGGAAAAGATCCTTTACCTGAAATACCCCATGTGGAACTGAGTTTTATTATCTCCAATAATTATTGTCTGGAACTCAGGAGGATCATAGTAAAATCTCCAGTGAAGGTTAAAATTCAGGCTCGATGATTTTTTTTTCATTTTATGTTTTCCAGCAAGGATGTCATATGGACCCACTAATTGAAGTCCAAGGCTTTCGGAAAGTGAATCTATAAATTAAATAAGTTTATTTAGACAATAACTTTCTAGAGGCAGATAGGACATAGTGCCTTTCACTAGTAAACTATTTCTAAGCAATTATCTTAAAAAACCATTTAAAGTGAAAAAAAAATTTAGTTACATGTGAAGATGTTAGTTATAAACACTCAATGGAAAAGAAATCAGAGCAATAAAAATGTGGCACTTACATTTAGGATTTCCTCCTAAATTTACCACTGAATACATTTCAAACATTCCTGCCATTTGTTATTTTGGCCAAAGCAAGACTGTTTTGTTTTCCTATGGGCATATTAGAGCTGCAAACACTTACCCTGTGTCATTACTAGGTTGTTGTGAGCCTTAGATAATTGTAGCACACCCAGATTAAGGAAGAAACATGATAGATAACAAATGAGTGTGCATTAAGGAACATAAATAATTTATTTAATGAAAACATTTCTTTCCCCTTTCCTCCACTTCAGCTAATTATCACTGTGGGATTCCTTTGCCTCCTTGATAATCTATCTAGCCAACCAAATGCTGTATGATTCCTTCTATCTCCATTCTCAGACCACAGAGGGAGAATGTTAAATAATACCAGTCATGAAGTCTGTTCAAATGTACACTCTAACTATATAAGATGGGTCTGGCTGTTCCTCTAAAAGGGAAGTAAGCATTCCAGGAATTCCATGGATATATAAGAGGTGGGGCTGGAGAGAGGAAGAAAATTCTTAGAAGAGGTAACAATGTGAATAAGAGCACAGTTTCCTTGGAAGGGGAAGATGTCTCAGCTTAGCGGGAAGTTAAGACAGCACACCCTAATTTCTAAAGCAATATAAAAACTAAAACTACCCATCTCACTAGCCAGTGATAACCAGGTTAATAGTCTGGTAGACAGTAATACCATTCCCCTCTCTATAAACAAATAGATATTTTAAAGGGAGATCATGCTGTTTCCCAATTTTTTTTTTTGTTCTCCATCCTGTTTTCACTTACATTTTCTGAATATTTTCCCATGAAATTAAATTCTTTAACATAATTTTTAATACCTGCACAATGTTCCATTATAGATAGATAACTATTCTACTACTGATATTTACTGTTTAACTTTTTTACTATTCTAAACAATGCTTCAGTGAACATCTTAATACATATTTGTACACAGCCATGAATATTTTTTGAGAAGTAGCTGCAGAGTTTAAGTATTTTGATATATTGTCAAAATTCATAGTTATCTACCAATATAATTCATTTTCATCAATTGAGTATGAGTGTTTCTCTCCCCCCACCTCATGCTCAAAATTTAAACGGTACAAAATGGTAAGAATGAAAAGTAACTGTCAAAAACATCATGTTTTTGTGTATCCCTTCAGAGATAGTATAAGTACATAGGAAGTACATAGGGATGTGTGTGTGTGCATCCTTGACTTCTGAATACTCTATACACTCTTCTTTTTCACTTAAAATTTTTCAGGCATGATACTTTATCATTGCCTAAAAATCAGATTCACTCTTTTAAAACAATGAATACTCACTGAATGGATGCATTACTGATGGGCATTTAAACCATTTCTTATTTTTTGTTTCAATATATATCATTGAACATAATTTTGGTCCACATAATCCATAAGACAAGTTGCTAAAAGTCATACTAACACTCCCGCAACATATCAAAATACTTGTTTTCTTTCAAACCCTCATCAAAGGATGTTGTGAAATTCTTTACCTTTACCAGGATAATAGGCGATAGTGGTATAATTTTAGCATAATTTTATGTTTCTCTTATTAGAAACCTGTTTGAAAAGGTTCCTCTTCTATGAACTGTTTAGATCCTTGGTTTAGTTTCCTACTGTCTTTTCAATTGGTAGAAGTAGGAGAACGATTCTGGAACAACTCACCAGCTGGCTTTTCAGGATCAAGTTCTTCACAGAACTTCCAGAAGTGATAGAAATCTTCAGGCAGAGAAAGCTTATAATGATTTTCTACTTCTTTTCGAAGGTCACTAGAGACATCAGCTTCACAGGATTTACTCTTCTTCACATCAACTGTTTTTTCACACTGAAAATTGGCATACAAAATGTTTTTTCTCTAAACAATAATTTCAATAACTTTCCTTAAATAACAACATTGTTTATTTCTGTTTACCCAACTCTATGAAATACACTTTAAAACTCTATAAATGGTATTTTTGAGTAAAATCTGGGGATTCTTTTAAGCAAATAAAAAAAGTTTATAATATATAGTAGTCAAGAGGACTCATACAGCAAGTGTTTAAATGTATTTCTCTAAGGTAATAGAAACAAAAAATATAAACAACAAATTAACTAAAGTAAAAAGAAAAGGTAAAAAGTGGGAAAAGAGGAATAAGGAGAAGGCAGGTTTTGCCTTCTGTTGGTAAATAGGATTCATCATGCATTTTGTTTATATATATTTAGTTATCACATCAAATGCAATTGTCCAAAATAACTGGATACAAGGGAATTTACCAGTTAAACAATTATTTCACAAAAGGCCCTTTAATGCCAGGACTAGGTCATAAAACTTTATCTCCAACATGTCTGTAAAATAGGTTCATTATATAAGTATGCCAAGTTTTATAATGCATGTTAGGTATTTGATAAATTTCTATAATGATAAAATACTCAGTTGGAGGTTACTTATCTTTAGTTTTGTAAGTAGCAATCTGATTTTCCTTTTAGAACCTTTCTTTTGGATTAAGTTCTTCTCTTCTTATTCTTCCCATCAGTCAGTGCTTCTCAACCAGGAGGGATTTTGCC